TTATCGCGCTTTTCAAATTGCTGTGTCCGCTGATTTTCATACATCACACTGGGAATCAGAAATCTAGAAAAAATGCCCATACGTGATTGGCTAAAAATTATTTTTAACCAATCACAAATTTGCATTTATTCTATATTTCTGATTTCCGGTGTGATGTATGAAAATCAGTGGACACAGTAATTTGAAAAGCGCGATAATGTGAAAATTCGTGTAAAATACCCGGGTATTATCCCTGGTTAAAAAATATGCTATGAAATATCCGGGTATTTTAACTGGAGGTATTGAAAAATAGGATATTTTAGTTAGTGCACTACATTAGTCATGTAATAAATACCTCTCTAATAAAATCTTTAATAATTTTTCATTTAAGTCTATATTGGTATCGAATTTGAGACATTTAAGTGCAACTCTTAAATTGCAATCTTTCCATTCGTATTTAAAAACATTTCCGAAGCCTCCGCTGCCGATGATTGTAGGATCTGTAAATTTATCATATACAAGATTATTAATATATCCTTCTGAAATAGCCTTTTCAAACCATTCTTCTGGTGTATTTGCCATGACCTTTGTATTTTGAAAATAGGTACGTACGTATATACGAACGTGTGTATGTACGTACATGTATTTTATACTTACTGACTACGTGATACTGCTACGTGACAGATTTAATTCTTTATGGTAACGTACCGTATGTACAAAAATATAAGTTAATGTGTAGTGACAATCAAAAATGTAAACTAAGGGTACCCTTATGTCAAGAAAATTCCATGACTGCAGATCATTTCCGGTCTTGTTTCGGAGGCCGATCACCCGGATATAGTTCCCTACAGTACATGGACCGTCAGTCAATTGACTTCAACAATAGATCTTGAATAAACATTATTGCTTGCCCATTAAAGAATTATGTAACAAATTTATATGCAGGATCATGTTTTAGAGACGTTTTTAAGTTTGAATTTAACATTTCTAGACGGTTTTGAAAAAACAATTTTTTTTTGAGATTTTTTCCTTGAGATTTTTTTTTTTTTTTTTTGATTTTTTTGAATTTTTTTTTTTTTTTGCTATTTTTCTTCTAAGGTGCTGTTAATTGATGGCTTTAGAACATTCGATTATAAATACTCATATTAATGCTGTTATATCTGGCAAATATGAAAATATAAATATCACTGATAATAGTGAAGAAACACGACAAGAAATCGCAAATATAATAATGAACCATACTCAAGCAAATATTAATACCCAAACACTGTATATTCTTGAAGAAAGAGAAGGATATCGCAAGTTTATTCTTCCCCTTGATGTGTATAAGAATTGGATAAAAGAAGAAGAATCATCCAAAAAATTCAATTTTATAAAACCCCATGGAACGTACAAGAATCATGTGTCTAGTTCTTGGACTGAACATTATATTTGTTCATGTGCAGATGCCAAGCAAGAACGTAATGACTATATAGAAGGAGGGCATATACAAAAAAAATGGTGTACTCAAAAAGCATCTAAAAAAGTCAGCTGTAAATATGATTTATGAATCCATTATTCATCAAATATTTTTTGTAATGAGATCATTATAATCTGTTATCAGTACAAGCATAGTAAACACATATCTGGAAGTCATAATGATGTTTAATTTTTAAAGAAGTCTGAAGAGACAATCATTAAAATAAAAATGTTTACTCAACAAGGGTTATCTTTTTTAGCAATTAAGCACCTGATGAAAGTGCTGGAAGAAGTGATTGAAAGGTATATATTATTTTTGAATACACACTATAATTTAAATATATTTTGACCTATGTATTTTTTTTTATTATATATAAAAATTTATAGATACTTTACTTCGAAGAATATTGTTCCAAATAGAGATGAGCTGCTAATCTACGAGGATATTTATAATATTCTTTATAAAGAAATCCATCAAAAATACCACTATAATAACGTTGATGCAATAAGTGTATTGCAATGGGTAGACATTTTAACAAGAAACAAAGAGAATTTAAGTAATCTAAATAGCCCAATTTTGTCATATTTTCAAATGTGTAATGATGATGGACAAATGTTTCAACTTGGTTTTCATATGCCCTGGCAACATAAATTGTACCAAAATTATAATGAGGTAATTTTTTCTTACACAATCAATTTTTAATTCATAAGAACGGTGCATTTAAAGAATTAAGCTAAAATTCGGTCACCAAATCCAAGCATTTGGTTCCAAGATTTAAAATTTAGATGTTCAAACTACATATTGGAGGTTTCAAAATACAATGAGGGGTTTCAGAATTAATGTGCGAAAAGCTAATTTTGACAGAAATAGATAACGTATTTATTTTCAATTGAGTGAGATATCAACTTTATTTCATTTTCTGATGAATTTGTAATAAATTTTGTCATTGAAAAGTTTACTTATTTCGTTAAATGGGAGTCTCTAAACACTCCCATTTCATTTTCCAATTTCAAAATTTTGATATGTAAATAAGATTTTTTAATCTCCTACTTATTTTTGAAATACAGCATTTTTTTTAATTCTGAAACCCCACAATATATTAGTAAAATTTTTTAAAATTTGGGAAAGTTTATAAATGCGCCATAATGTATGATTTGCTCTTAAACATAATATCAGAAATCATTAAATCATTATTTAAAACTTTTTTTTTTTAGATCATTCATATAAATTCCACGCATAACACCA